GCCGAGGCTGAGGCTGCCGCAAAGGCCAAGGCCGAGGCCGAGGCTGAAGCAGCCGCAAAGGCCAAGGCTGAGGCTGATGCCCGGGCAAAGGCCGCGGCTGCAGCCAAGGCCAAGGCCGAGGCCGATTCTGCGGCCCGGGGCCCGGGCCGAGGCCGAGGCTGTGGCCCGGGCACAGGCCGACGCGCGGGCGCAGCAGGCTGAGCAGTCGCGGCTGGCCGAGTTCCGGCTTTCGCTGCCGGCCATCGGTCTCCGGGCGGCGACGACGGTCAACATTGGGATCAACACGACGTCCGGTGCGCTCCGCTCCATCTCCAACCTCCCGCCGGGCTGCACCGCCATCCAGTTTGAGGCGACGGAGCGTCTCGTGGAATCGAGCCCGCCTCGCGACACCCTCTGTGTCCATCTCGTCCAGGGCCGCGTCGCTGACGTCCGCTTCAACGACACCAAGATGGACTTTGTCTTCTCGGACCACACTGGATGACGCCTTTACCATTTGTCCCGCCCAGGGACGTAGCCAAAACAAACGCAACCAAAGCTCACCTCATGGGGCTACGCCTGGAGGCCAGCGATCACGGCTGGGAGGTGGTGGCCTTTGGGGTGGACGGCCACCGCCACATCGACAGGCTCGGGGTCCGAGTACTGCGGACGGGTCGAGGGGTCAGACTCGCGCTGGACGGTCCAGGCGAGGTACTGGTTGCGGTGGTAGGCGGCACCGACGATGTCATTGTATACCTTCCAGAACATGGATGCCCGCTCAAAGGCGGCGATCCATGGCACGGCGGCGTCCGGCGCGGCGCTGGTCGGCAGCGAGTAGTCCCACACGCCCTTGGAGTCTTCGCGGACGACGGTGATGACCGAGTCACACAGCGAGACCTGGCAGCCATCGGTCCGGTGAACGAACGACGGATGCGTCCCGGGATCCTCCGACTTGAAGTGGAGGGCGAGGTTGTCGAGGAGGACGACATAGCGGAGCTTGTGCCCAAAGATCGACGGGACCCGGAGCCAGCCGGCCATGAGCGGCGGCGGCAGGAGGTCGATGGTGGTACTCACGTATGCGCGCTCGAGGACGGCGGCGGCGTCGAGCGGATGCTCGAGGTGCCGGACCCGCTTGACAAGTTGGAATACATCTTTGAGCCGCCCGGTCAGCGTGCCGCGGAGTCGGGTCTCGGTCGTGCTCTCCTCGGCGTTGTCGCGGGCGTCGGCCAGCGCTGCGGTGAGCTCGGCGATGCGGGCGTTGAGCTCGGCCTCGGTCTGGCCGGCCTCAGCACGGACGTGCTCCACCCGGGCGGCGGCGGAAGCGGCAGCGGCCTCGACTGCTGCGCGGGCTGTCGACTTGACTGCAATAGCCTTCCACTTGAGCGCCGCATTGGCAGCGCGGAGCTTGGCGATCTTGGCCTCGCGCGCAGCAAGCTTCGCCTTGAGCGCGGCGATCTCGTCGTCGCCATCGTCGTCATCGTCCGAGCTGGAGCTCAAGTCAGAGTCCGAGCTGGAGCTCGAGTCGGCTTCCAGCGGCGGCGGTGGCGGCGGGAGGTCCGGGATGTGAATGTGCGGGGCGTCGGGCTTGGGCGTGAGCAGGCCACTCGGCTTGGGTGACTTGGCCGAGTTGGCCGCCGCCACTTGGACAAGCGTAAGGTACATGTGCATGGACCTCGCATCAAGCGCGTCCGAGCATACGTCGCTCGGGTCGAGGAGCATGGGGACAGCAAACTGGGCGTAAAAGGCGTCAAAGACCTTTTGCATGCGCGCGATGGGTGTCAGCGATCCTGCGTCCGGAGGCACGTTGCCGAGCGCTGCCAAAAGGGCGAGAAACGCGCGGCCGTCGGTCCAGTCGCTGGTCAGATTGGTCACTGCCGCATCAACACCGAGCTGGGCGTTGATCCACGCCAACAGCTCGCGGCTGGCCGATGCATCTGCCGCTGCATCAGCTGGCGCCGAAGCTTCGGCGGGCGCGGCAGCCTGCCTGGACGAGTACGCGAGAAAGAGGCGCCAGACAAAGCCGAGGATGGGCACTTTGTCGCCGTCGACAAAGTTTGATGCTTCGCAGCCCGAGAGGTCGACCCCCAGGCCCGCCAGGTCAGCCATGGCCTCATTGGTGGCGTCGAGCGCAGCAATGCGGGTGATCTTGGCGGCTACGCGCGGCAGATTGCCGGTCGGCTCGGGATCCGCCAGTGCGGCAGCGAGCAGAGCGAGGACGCGGCCGTCGGCAAACGAGTGGATGAGGTCACTCGGCAGTGTTGCCGACAGCGGCTCCAGCAGGCTCTCCACAAACCCAGTGAACGCGCGGATCTGCATCCGCTCCCATCCTGCAGCCAGCCCCCCGTCCGGAGGGTGCCCAGTACGCGATAGCCGAACCCCCGTGGTCGCCACATCATATTCCTCCCATACACATGAGTACAGATCACAACGACACGCAACGACAGGACACAATTGTGGTCATGGTCATATAGTCATGGTTATGGTTATGGTAATGGTCATCATCATGGTCATCATGGTCATGATCATCACCATCAAAGTTATCACCATCACCATCATCATCATCATCATCATCATGGTCACCATCATCATCATCATGGTCATGATCATCACCATCAAAGTCATCACCATCACCATCATCATCATCAGTGACCATCACCATACCCATACCCATCCCCACCATCCCCACCATCACGATGTATGCCTCCCCCCCCCCCCCCCCCCAAACCCCGCACAGCACGACCCAACGTACCTCTGTCAGCAACGAGCCAGCCAGAGGACGAAGACTCGGCAAAGGCCATGTGTGCTGGACTCGACATGGTAGATGCGTGAGGTGCTGCTCTCAAACAACTCCGGTGCCTAACACGGCCTGGTCATGCCTGACAGGCTGTCCTCGTGACTGGTCGTACTCGTCGCCGTCTTCATCGGCTGGCAGGTGGCAATGAACTGCATGACGCCCAGCGAGGACGACATACCAAGATGACGAGCTCCTCGGAAAAACACTGCTTGATGACCACGGTTTCAATGGTCGGTCTACCTACACCCACACACTCATCGGAACTCGAGAAGGAGCGCCCGGAGCGCCCGCGATGGGCCGCGGAGGCGCAACAGCTCGTCGTAGTTGGCACCAACGTTGACCGTCCCGGTCTCGAGCAAGAAGCGAGCCAGCTCCACATCGTTGTTGCGCACCGCTACACGGAGCGCATAGTCGTTGTCTGCTGATGCATCCACGCCATCGTAACCGAGCAAGATCCGGACAACGTTGAGTTTGCCGGCTTTGGCCGCCGCTCGGAGCGGCGCGTTGAACGATGTCGCAGCATCCACCCGCTCGTCCGCAAGAAGCACCTCGACCACGCAAGCATGCCCCCTCCTCGCAGCTTGCCCCAACGCTGTGTTGAGCATCTCGACACTGGTCACTTCGGCGAGTAGCACACGCACAACGTCGGCAAACCCGCCGCTCGCTCCCGCCACCACCGCATCGTTCATCGCAATCGCGCTGATGTTGCTTGCGCGGAGCAGCTGGATCACTATCGCCGCATGGCCCTTGCCCGCTGCAAGTCGGAACGCCGCCTCGTACACAGCAGACTCATACTCGATCCCAGCTCCCAGCAGCAGCGCCACCGTGCGCTCATGCCCGAGCTCGCTCGCCGCCCGCAGCGCGTGCCCGTTGTTGCTCTGCGGATCGACTCCGTCCGCCGCAAGCAGCCGCGCCACCACCGCCGCGTGCCCGTTCCGCGCTGCTAACACAAGCACCTCGCTCAATTCGTCGCCTCCCGCCGAGTCCTCGTCAAGCAGCCGCTCCACAATCACAAGATGACCTCCGGCTGCCGCCTTGCGCAGCGGCTCGTGCTCCCGCGCCGCGCAGTCGACCCGCCCAGTCTCCACCAGCATCGCCACGAGGTCCGCAAAGCCGGCTGCCGCCGCCGCGCACAGCGCATGGTTATTGCTCGCTCCCGGATCCACCTCGCTGCGCTCAAGGAGCCTTGCTACCACGCCCGTGTGCCCGTGCTCGGTCGCACACCGCAGCGCAAAGCTCGCGTCCGCGCCCGCGTCCACCTCGCCGCGCGCCAGCAACGCCTCTACCACAAGCTCATACCCCTTGAGCGCTGCCAACTGCAGCGCCTGCTGCCGCGCCACCGCATCCACGCCGCGCCGGATGATGTCGACCGCCACTGCAGGCAGATCCCGCCCCACGCACCACGTCACCACGCTCGCCCGCGAGCCGGCGTGCCGCAGCGCCGACGACTTGAGGAGGAACGTAAAGGTGGCCGGGCCAAAGTTGGCGGGCCGCGCCGTGGCACCCACCTTCGCCAGCGCCCGCACCAGGCCGAGCCAATCCTCAGCTGTGCCGTCACCCGCCAGCTCCTCGCCTTCCGCCAGCCGATCATTGACCGCCTTCCCCACCTCGCCCCAATCATCAAACAGAGCCACCAGTCGCGAGTCCTTGCCCTTCCAAAACGCTTCCCCGCCATTAACCTGCAAGAAATTCGTCCGCATCACACAATGCCGTGCTGCAAGCAGATCTTTTTCTGCATGCACTCATCATATCCTGCAAGGCCTCGAGCGCGAGCGCGCAGGCTACGACTGCCAAGGAGGAGTCCGTAGAAACGCCGCGAGGTGCACGCCCACGAAACAATGTCAGAGAGCTCAAGCTCACTCACTTTGTACGCTATGTGGTCCACAACCTCGGCCGGGAGCATCTCCATCCTTTCTGGTCTGCCTGTGCCACCTCTCCACGAGTGCGGTGGATTGGCCCGAGCGGGAGCGGGGAGACGTGGTCTGACAACTGCCAACGGTCACGCCCCCGCTCGCTGCGGCTGCCGTCGATCACGATCGCGCCCCACCCCACCCCACCCCACCCCACCCCACCCCACCCCACCCCACCCCACCCCACCTCCACCTCCACCATGAACGTCCTCCTTGGCAAGCTGCGGTACATAGAGGAGGAATGCTCTGTAGAGTTGCGACGAAAGCAGGCCAAGCGGGCGCAGGCGACCCCGTTCCGGAGCAAGAAGAAGACCATTGCCAACGAGCTGAGAGCCATTCGCGAGTCGCTCAAAGAGCGGGACCAGCTGCTGGGCTCTGCCGTTGCTGCTGCCCCGAGCACCATTGAGCTTGGTTCTCGTATTCGAAGGGATCTGGTCAAGGTCGAGGCTGAGGTCAATGAGCTAGAGGAGCTGTTCAAGGCCGAGAAGAAGAAGGCTGGCAAGTCTCCCAGCGAAGACAAGCGCGAAGAGCTGGCCCTTCGTGGCGATCAGCTCAAGGTGGTCAAGGAGCACCTGCGCGAGTGCAAGCGGCTAGAGAAGCGGAGGTATACCTCAAAGGTCGACCGCGACAACAGGTCCCGCCTGATGGCGGGGGCTGCTGCCGCGGGTGTCGGCGTTGCAGGCTCGCGCTCGGGCCGCAACGGCGCGGCAGAGCTTCCGGACGACCCGACCATGTCGCAGCTGGCGCCCATCGATGATGAAGAAGTCGAGGCGGCGTTGATGCGGATTGAGGCCCGCAACGAGGACATCGACCAGGAGCTCGACGCCATTGCCGACGGCGTTGCCACCCTCCGCGACATTGCCGTTGAGATGGGTGGCGAGCTGGACCGCCAGAACATCATGCTCGACGAGACAAACCGTCGTGCTGCCGAGGTCACAGAGCACATCCGCAACTCGAACAAGCGCCTGTCCAAGATCCTCAAGAAGGTCGGCAAGGACAAGATGTGCATGTATCTTATTCTCCTCATGGTCTTCCTCGTCATGCTCCTCGTTGTCTACAA